ATGTTTATTGCAAAATCCTTTCGAAATAAACAGTCTCCTTGCACGGTTTCTTGTCCCCTCTGTGAGTGCTTGAGCTTCTGCTGCCTTCCCGTCTGTGCTGTGGCCGCCCGCTGCTTCTGCTGCCGCCCTCATTCTTTGCTGCCTATAACCCTTTTCCCTTCTGTGGCTGAAGGTGAGACCTGCCAAGGGGTCTTTGCCAGGCCCGAGGAAATGGGACCCCAGGGACCTTGATGTAAGACCCCTGGGGTGCCCAGGATGGTAGAGAGGAAATGAGGACTGACTCCCGGACCTGTCTGTCCAGCCACAAGCTGTTGAAAGATGCAAGTTTTCACTTCCTTTCCAAAGGAGGAGTTTAAGTCTAGCAGTTTCTGTATTTGAGTTAGACTGTTACCCTATTCTTCCTGCTGCTTCTGCATTCACCGACTCTGGAAGCTTGGCCCGGGCACCTCTGCGTGATGAGGGCCTGGGAGCGGGGCCGGGCTGGACCTCAGTTCCTGGGCATGGAGCCTAGTCATGAGCTTGGGGGATGGGAGGGGACAAGGGCGAGCTCCCAGGGTGGTCTGTGCCACCGCACCTCCGAGCAGCTTCGCACAGCCGTCTCTCTTGCTGCATTGCTGGGGCCTAGGGCCGTGCCATTAAAAGTCAGGTCGTCTCCCCTCTGTTTGTTCTTTTTTTCTGGCCTCAGCCTCTAAGCTAGCCGGGGGAGCCTCCCACCAGGGCCCTGGGGAAATTTCCAACATTGCTAATAGGCACCCCAGGACCCACATCGACGTCAGCACATGGGGGTGAGCCTGGCTGGGGAAGGGGGGCAGGGGATGAAGCTTCGATCTCCGGAGCAGAAGATGTCAGCCCTGCCCTGCCCTCCCCCTCCCTGGTGATTCAGGGACGCAGTGCCCTTCCCTAGGGAACAGGTCTCAAGCCCAGCAAAGGCAGGGCCCCTGTTTACTCAGCAGAGTAGGGCAGGAAGTGGCAGCTGGATACTGCCACACCACACTGGCCTCATTAATCATTAACCATGTGTGAGCTGGAACCCTCTGGGAGAAACTGTGGGCCAAACGGCTGCCACCTCCACTCCCCTTGCCCCAGGGCTGAGGCTGGGAGAGACCTGTTAAGTTGCTGTCCAAAAGCTTCCTTAGGTGTCTCCACCCAGAAGCCCTTGCCTGGCAAACCGGCTGGGCTGCTGTGACTCAGCTACCCACTCCTGGGAATGAAGGAAAGAACAAATTGAACGTGCTTCTGGGGAGCGCTGGTGCCAGTTCTTAGCAGAGAAGCCAGCTTGATCCAGAACAGCTTTAAGTTTTTGACTAAGGCAAGCTAGAAGAATTGCCTCCTCCCAGCTAGCCAGATCTAAGATAAGGACACCTGTCTCCTTAGGCGGAATGACACAGTCATGCCATTCCTCACTACGCCAGTCCTTCTTCCCTGTCTGTTCCCTTGGAAATGGCAACCAGACCTCGGGCCCCTGGCACCTCTTCTCTCTCACTCCAGGAACAATGAGACTAAGAGGTACACCAAGCTGCTTTCACTTTATTCTTCTATTTATACATTCTCCTGCTCCCAGATGTGAAGGCAGACCATGATGTAAGCTCAGCAGTCCTGCTCAGAGCCTTTCTAGGTTCTATCAGTTTCCCTTTCCCCATCTCCCACCCTCGTCCACCCCAACTCAGTCAGTCCCTCTGTCCAGTTGTTGCTCTTGGAGATAAGAGAGCAGAAGCAGAGAAATAAGACTGAGTTGACTGTCTCCATCCACCTGCCCCCAGTGACAAGACAGCAGTCCTGGAGAGACTGGACGGAGATTCTAATGAGGGACGGGAGCCTCCTTCCAAGGCACAGGGACCACCTTCTCAACGTGGCCACTGGTTCGTTCAGATCTGGGTGCTGTGCTGGCCCGAAGCTGGGGGCTGAAGTGCCTCCAACTGACTGAGGAGGACAGAAATGGGAGGGCGCTGCTGGGGGTCTACAGTCATCATTGAGGTGAGCAGCTGCCGCAAGGCCGAAGAATGCCTGTGGAAGGAAGCAGGCAGGGTGATCAGAGGGTTCCTATTCTCCGTGCTAAGGTTCCAACTCCGCTAACGTCACGGCGGAGTCTGAAATGGTCGGTGCCCCCTCTATTGCTCACCTGGGGCTCTGCGGGATGCTGAGTTGGTTCTGCACAGCAAGGGCCACACTGTCACCCTTCTGGAACACCATGTCATATGGGCCTTCCCCAAACATCATGGCATATAGCACGCAGCCTAGGGACTGAGCATAACTTGGTTATTCCTTGACAGGGGACCAATGGAGGTGATAAGCTAAAAAGAATATGCTGACCTCAGCCACACGACACCACCAGGGTCCAGAGAAACCGCCCGTTAGCTGGAGGCCTCTGCACCCCTTGCCTAGCCACTGCCTTCAGCCCTGACACTTCGCTGTACTCGCTCTGTTCAAAGGGCAGGATTATACCACTTCCTGAGCAGCTGAATACAGTGTCAGTGACAGTTCCCAGGAAGGAAGTCGAGGGGGATGGGGACATACACGGTTCCTGGGGCCCCATGCACTCGAACCCAAAGCCCTGCCCCTCTGCCACACAGCAGGTACAGAGTAGACCTCCTCCCCACCCATGTGCCCAGCCTCACGCTCCTCACCCAGACATCAGTCCGCTCGTCGATGACACAGTGGCTCTGCACGGAGAAGAGCTCCGGGGCCCGGTAGGAAATGGTGCATCGCTGGGCTGCCCAGTCCTGGAACAGCTCAAACAAGGGGCACAGGTCACAGTCATGTGACCAAATTGGGGGATGCAAGAGAAAAGGTTGAGGGTGGGGAACAGGAGGGCAAAGGAACCTGGACACCCTTACCTGCAGGGTCAGAGCCTGGCGGGAGCCCTCCACGTGGATGCAAGCTTGATTCATGGAACCCAAGTCCATTAAAACCGGCTGCCCCTCATCTCCAAGCAAGATATTAGTGGGCTTCAGGTCCCTGTAGGGAAGTGGAAATGGCCCATGAGCATCCCTGGATAGGGAGGTTAGAATCCCTGGGGGCAAAAGAATCATGGGGACTGTTCCTTGGGAGGAGAGCAGAGACCTCTCATTCCTTTTGGTGAGGCTCTTCCTTTCTGCCCCATAAGCACACAGGGCCCTCCCACTGACCTGTGGGCGAAACCTCTGGCATGAATGGCCTCAAGGCCTCTGCAGATACCCAGCAGCAGCTGAAGGATTTGATCTTCAGTCAAGAAGTTGCCTTTGTCCTTCAACCTTTCTATCTCGTTCCACAGCGTACCCCTCTGCAACACAAGTGTCCCCATTGTTGGACAGGTTTTCTGAGCCTCTGCTCCCTCAGCCTGATCCCTTCCCTGTGTCAGAGTCTAGCAACTCTTTCACCACACACACTACACACCTCACAGTCCCACTAGACCCCAAATCTGAAGCGGTCAACCCCAGGACATGGTCTCTGCTTCCTAACATACTTGGCTACTCACACAGCCCTCGGTAGATGACTCTGTTGCAAGCCCCTCCATTGCCAGGAGACTTTCTGACCTTGAAGAAGGGCAGCAGCAACCAGGCCTCATGTTTAGTGCCCCGCTCCCTCAGACAAGAAGCCACAAGGCGAAGGATGTTGGGGTGATGGAAGAGGCGATGCATGTCTGCTTCTCGTTGGGCCTCCTCCCGATCCTGCTGCTCGTGACACAGGATCCGCTTCAGGGCGTAGAAGTGTCCATCATGTAACCCCTCCACTAGGTCCACATAGCTGAACCCACTGTGGGCCAAAGGGGTCAGTGAAGGACCACGGTCACCTCCCATACGGTTTGGACCCAGAGGAACTCCCTGGGGAGAAGGGGGGGGGTATCTTTCCCAGTTAGCAGAAACCCTCCCAAGATGTGGCTTCAAGAGAAGTCTGAAGATTTTACACTTTGAACTCAAGAGTAGGAACACAGTAATCCCTGGAGGTACTTTGGTCACAATGCACTGCTCTGCACATGACAAATGCTCCATAAATACTACATGAGTAACAGTCAACATTTACCAAGTGCTGGGAACCAGGCACTGGGTGGGATGTTTTATATGCATTATCATATTTAATCCTCACAACTCCATCAGCGACAAAAGACAATTATCTCCGTTAAGCAGATGAAGAAACCATGGCTTTTCAAGGTCACACAAGGTGGATCCAGGAGGCCTGGCTCCAGAATCCACTTTCTTGACTACCATGTCACTAGGCTCTGTCAGGTGAGCTAAAGGATAGGTTAAGAGAATAAAACTTTTGTGCCCCTATCATGTGCAGACTGCTGTCCTTCAATCACCAGAACCTGGGGACTAGCTAAGTGATTTCCAAACACTCACCCCTCCCCCAGTTTCTGGATGAAGAGGTAGCGCTTATTGTCAATGATGACAGTTCCCCGAGAGCAGACACACAGCGCGTGGCCCATAGTGTCTCAGTCATCCTCCTCAAGGGCGGTCTGAGGCGGCCGACAGCTTCGTCCAAGTTAAGTGGGCTCTTCCAGGCGATGCGCTGGGGGCCCAGCGGATCATGCTGGAAGGAAAAGAATAGCAGGGTCGTGGGTCAGGCACGATCCAGACGACCCCTGCAGTACCAATGTGGAGAGCCGGCGCCCGGGTCTCGGAACGTAGAGAAAACGCGCTCTGGCGACGCCAGCTCCAAGAAGGGTGGGGTCAGGTGCCTTAAAGCCTCCGGCCACGCAGCGACTGCAAGGCCGCTTCCTCCAACCCAGTCCACCTTTGAGCGGCCCCCGCTCCCACGGCCGTCGGGGCGCCACGGCAGGGCAGAGGGTAGTTCGGCGGGGTGCGAGGTCCGGGCCCACCTCTGGCAGAGCCCACCCCCGGGAAGAGCCCACCCCCAGCCTCGGCGCGTAGAGCCCGGGGCGGGGGAGGGGGCAGCCAACCCGGACACCCCACTGACCTGGCTCGGGCTGGAGAGAAGCGCCGGGGACCGGAAGAAGTGCATACGTCATCAGGCCGCGCCGGCGTAACGGCCCGCGGTATCCTAGCAACCGCTGGGCATCGGGATAATGTGGGGGCACGGAGCTGAGAGGCCGGGGGCGGGCTAAGCCTGGGGAGGGCGGGTCCCAGGACCCGGGTGAGGGTTCCACACCTGGCCTTCAGGGGTCAAGACGCAGGCACCCACGCCAAAGGGGAGCAAAGCCGGGCTCGGCCCGAGGCCCCCAGGACCTCCATCTCCCAATGCCGGAGGTAGGAAGCTGACTACAGTCCAGCCCCGAGGGGCGGGTGCTGGGGCGCGTGCTGGCGGCCTGGACCCCTACCCCCTACAGCTCTGATCAATACAACCTTGGGGGCTCTGGCTTGTATCCCACTACCCTAGTTAGAGTGGTTAAGAGCTTAGGCTTTTGAACCAGATTAGGTTCTAAATCCTGTCTTAATAGCTTAGTTACTAGCATTGTGGCCTCGGACCATTTAACCTCTCTGAGCCTCAGTTTCCCTAATTGTAAACAAGGTATAATAGTACCTAAGATTAAGTGCACGTACTGTAAGGCCAGACTGCCTAGTTCAAATCCCAGCTCTGCTAAACTAGTTGTGGGACCTTGAACGGGTTATTTAAAATTTGTCTCTCAATTTCCTCATCTGTAGAATGGGAATGATAATTACCAACTGCACGGAGTTTTTTGAAGATTAAATGAGATGTAAAGTGCTTAGCACAATATCTGATGTAGCCCTCAGTTAGTGTTAATAAACAAATTACTATTATTTTTATTACTATTTTATTTTCTTATTCTGGTCCTTACATCCCAGGCTTGGGACTGTGAAGGCAGGACTCATGGAAATTCACAAATTCCCAAGCCTTGGCACCAAGTAGTTCTCCTTGACATTTCTCACACAGGCAGGCAGGGATAGACTGAAGAGCAGTGCACATCCAAAGAAGAAGGAATGGCTGAGGCGGTCTCTTTTGCTGTAACAGGGCCACCAGGAGAAAGATCCCTCTTATAACTTGGTCCCCCACTTTCATACCACTGGGAAGATCTGGTTTCTCTTGGTTCTGAACCTGTTTTAGCCCCCTGGTTCTGACATTCATTCATCCAGATTTAACCTGCTATGTGCCGGGCCCTGTGCTAGAAGCTGAGGATTCAAGATGGACAAGGTACTCTTCACCCTCAGGGAGCTCAGTTTAGTAGGACAGTGCTTCTCAATCTTGAATGTCTTTAGGATCGCCGGGGAATCTTGTTAAAATGCAAATTCTGATCCTATAGGTCTGAGGTAGGACCTGAGACTGCATTTCTAACAAGCTCCCAGGTGACGCTGATGAAGTGGATTCAAGATGTAGAGGATTTTTACAAACGTAGAGTAGCGGGTGGACAAGTCCAGGCTACTGGCCTGGCAACTTGAGGTGGTCCCCGCCCCCTTGCTCGCTGAGGTTCCCTCCCAGGAATCCGCCACGTGACAGTCGGACCGCCCTCTCAGACTAGAGGAGCCCGTTTAGCGCCATGGCTCCCAAGAAGCCGCTCCGCCTTCCTGTCCTGCTGTTACCACTTCTGACGCTGCTGCCCCAGGTAAAATGACAGGATTGAATCCCAGCAGGCTGGGTGTGGTGAGGCGGGATGAGATCTAGCCCGGGAGAGAAGGAAAGTGAAAATCACGGAACAATGGGCAGGCTAGTTCCATCTCCTCTCTGGACACTGACCGCCCCCACCCTCCCGACTCCAGACCTCTGCTGAGCCTGATCTCTTTCTTTGCAGGCAGACACTCGGTCGTTCGTAGTGGATCGGGAAAATGACAGATTCCTCCTAGATGGGGCCCCGTTCCGCTACGTGTCTGGCAGCCTGCACTACTTTCGGGTACCACGGGTGCTTTGGGCAGACCGGCTTTTCAAGATGCGAATGAGTGGCCTCAACACTGTACAGTTGTAAGAAGTGCTCAGGAGAGTCATGGAGGGTGGGATTTACCCTTCCTACCACGCCCATAAGAAGGGGATTGGGACAGGAAGCCTAGCTTGGTATGAGAGCTCCAGGGCTTTCAGGCCAAGGGTGGGAAAGGGTGGACCAGGACCTCCTCCTAACAGCTTCCTGGAGATTCCCTTCAAGGCCTGAGCCCTTAGGCCTCTCAGCACCTCCCTGCCTGGGGCCCTGTTAACCTTTTTCTTTCTCAGTTATGTGCCCTGGAACTACCATGAGCCAGAGCCTGGGGTCTATAACTTTAATGGCAGCCGGGACCTCTTTGCATTTCTGAATGAGGCATCTGTAGCGAACCTGTTGGTCATACTGAGACCAGGACCTTACATCTGTGCAGAATGGGACATGGTGAGTTAGGAGAAGGGACAGAACCAGAGCCACTCCTGTGCAGTTCCTCCACTCCTCCCATCTGCCTGCACTGTAGGGCCACTTCCAGTGCTAGACTCAACATCCTCCCTTCTTACCTCCCCTCCCCGACTCCCAAACAACAAAACCTGCTGTCTTTATATTTGTCGCAGGGGGGTCTCCCAGCCTGGTTGCTTCAAAAACCTGATATACATCTGAGAACCTCAGACCCAGGTGAGTTGAGACAACATTTTTAACACAGAAAAAACGCAACCAACAGCAACAAAATGGGTCGTTTGGGTCCCCAAAACCGAAGAGACCATCCCCACACTGGAGATCATTCATGCAGATATTTGTTTCCATCAGGCCTAGCAAGATGCTACAAACTGAGGGACCAGATAGACCCAGCCCCTGTGCCGTGGAGCTTATGGTGAAACAGCTTTTTAAAAAACCAAAACCTGTAAGATTAGCGTAAGCTGTAAAAATACCACCCGAAAATAGACGAGTTGAGATCGTGAGTAACAGGGAAGGCCTGTTTGGGGTAGGGAGGCCAGAAAAGGCTTTTCTGAGATGATGACATTTCACTTGACTCCAGGGAAGGGAAAGCGCTGGTCATATGAAGAGTGAGGTGACAACGACCAGGTAGAGGGAACAGTATATTATAAAACCCAAAGGTGGGAAAGAACATGGCCTGGTTGAGGCCAGCTTGGCTGGAGCATAGCTGGTAAGGGAGAGAGGAATGTGACATGAAATTGGAGATAGATAGGGGCGCCTGGGTGGCTCAGTCGTTAAGCATCTGCCTTCGGCTCAGGTCATGGTCCCGGGGTCCTGGAATCGAGCCCCACATCGGGCTCCCTGCTCTGCAGGAAGCCTGCTTCTCCCTCTCCCACTCCCCCTGCTTGTGTTCCCTCTCTCGCTCTCTCTCTCTGT